GAAATATGATTGAAGGATGCTTAGTTTCATGTTCTATTATTCTTAAAATACTTTTATTTTGCTTTGTTACTCCTTAGTTGTAAAAGATGACTATAAGAAGTGTACACTGTTTCTGATATCATAGAAACTGGAAAGACCAAGAGTCCTGATGCTAAATCTTGTTTGTGTTTGTTGAGACTAAGCCAGTGTCGGTGTTAGGCTTTCAAGGCGCTTTTCACTGAACTTCGCTGTGTCATTGTCCTTCCTTTAGTGCAGTAGAGGCAGCCATGTGTATACCAGCCAGGAGCCCGTGGTGACTGTATGTGATGTATTGTGGCCTTTACCCTTTATTACAAACTCACCTGTTCATCACATAAATGCTTTTATTATCTCAGTGTAAAACAGCAGTTTTTGGGCTAGATATTCTCTTAGATATTCCTTCGATAGTCTCTTTTGAATCTGAAATTGAGACGGAATTATCTCTTGAATAAGAAACATAATTGAATTAAATTTATCTGGTTAGCAATACTAGTGCTATTCTGAACTTCTCTATAGAAAGCATATTATTTCTTTTTTCTTTTTCTTTTTTGGCAGAACCGGGTTTGAACTCAGGCCCTTGTGCTTGCCAGGCAAGTGCTTATTCTATTGAGCCATCTCCCCAGCCCAGAAAGCATATTATTTCAGACTGACTTCATATTAAGACTTTATTGCTAAGGTAAAAATAATCTACCTTTGTTTTAAGCAATTTGTTTTGTGAATTCTCATTCTTGGTTTAATCTTTAAAAGCCAAGTTTCAATTTGGAAGACTTCATTTGTATGTTGCTTTCTGTGTTTGAGAGCGAGTCTTACAGCACAGCCCAGGCCAGCCTCCACTTGCTGTTAGCCTGTGTGAGCCTCAAACGTGCGATCCTTCTGCCTCGGCCTCCTGAGTGTTTACGTTTGATTTCGTGTGACATCAGGTTTCACTCTGTTGCCAGGCTGGTCTCAAACTTCTGGGTGCAAGTGGTCCTGCGCTGTTCTCCTCCTGGGTGACTACGCTATACCTGTGCACCACTGGGCTTTTCTTTCAGAACTAGAGGAAAGGTCTAAATTGCCCAGCCCGTGCTGGCATCTGTGATCCTCCTGCCTCAGCCTTCCAGAATGCTACAGTTGTATAGCATGTAGCACAATGCCTAGCGAGTGCTAAGTTTTTAAAAAATATTTGCCAACAAGTATAAACTGGAAATTTTATTAAAATTTCTTAAAACCCCACAGATGGGGCTGGGGAGATGGCTCGGTCAAATAAGTGCTTGGCTGGCAAGTGCAAGGGCCTCAGTTCAATCCCTGGTTCCACCAAAAAATAAAAAAATTAAATTTTTTTTTAAAAGTCCACAGATGTCATGACATGTGCCTACATACACACACACACACACACACACACACACACACACTTTTTCTTTCTTTTTTTTTTTGTCTTTTTAAGACAGGGTCTCACTATATACATAATTCAGGCTGGCTCTAACCCCACTCTTAGTCTAGGCTGGCCTTGATCTCTCGGTGATATTCCTGCCTCAGTCTCAGGAGTTAGAGGCATGTGTCACCATGCCCAGTCTAGGCTTACATTCTTATGTGGCAGATACTCAGCAAGAGGAGAGGAATAGCCCTGCCCTGTAGGTGGGTGTGTTAGTAACTTTTTCTGTTACTGAGACAAAATACTTCACACCCACAGTTAAAGAAGGAAAGCTTTATGTGGCTGACAGTTTCTAGTGGTTTCAGTCCATAGCAGGCTGGCTCCGAGACAGGGCAGTGTGGCAGAAGCGAAACAGTTCGTGGAAGGCAGAAGACAGCAAAAGCAAGCAAGCAAGGGGCAAGACAAGGTTCTTTCTGTCCCTTACATTGTATCCAGGCTACTACTGGGAATTAGGGCAGTGCCCATCCAATCAGTGGACTGATTTATTAATACCCACCCTTAACGGTAGCATTGCACCCGAGTCACACACACTAGATCTGGCCCCCTCTGAAACAACCCCACCTGTGCCTGCCTGAGGCTTTGGGGTAACTCCTGGACATAAGACCTGACAGTGGAATTCCCACTGTCACTTTACCACTGTACAGTTTCCCAGTAGTCATCACTCACTACACTGCATTGAATAGCTGATCTTCCTTAGCATTGTGACCTTGCTAATGAGTTTATAATGAGGCTTGCACAGGGCTGCGGAGATAGCTCAGTGGTATAAGCACCTGCCTGACAAGCGCAAGCTCCATGTTCAGTCCCCAGTACTGAAGGAAAAAAAGAATCATGCAGTGAGGCTTACTAGGTGCTGTTTCAGTGGAATTATCTTGGGGAAAAAGAAAACCTGAGCTCGATATGGTGGCACACTTCCATAATCGTAGCATTCTGCAGAGCTGGGCCAGGAAGATTGCAAGCTGTAGCCCAACCTGGGTAACTTATTAAGGAGGCTCCATCTCAAGATTTAAAAGAGATAGTGATGTAGCTTGTGTGAAAGACCTGAGTTCAGTCCCTGATAGTGCGAAAATGTATGTATGTGTGAATGGCTGGATAGACAGATAATCCCTGGTAGTGCAAAAATGGATGGGTGGCTGAACAATCAGAACAAGAATAGCTGATTAACAATGGTTGATACATTATCTACTTTTTATCATCAGATCTGTTGCTCAGCTTAACAGATATAGTTATGTAAGATTGGACATATGACTGACTATTACGCCTTGCTTTCAGGAAACCTTAAATTTTTGTTCTTATCTCTGTTTTTCTTCTCTTACCTTTTTAAAAATTTTATTTTAAAGAGAGCATAGTAATAATTGATACATTAGAAATGGTACGTAATTAGAGGACCAAGATGACAGGCATTCAAGCAGGGCTTTTGAATTACGCCTAGATGCAGGCATCAGCATACAGAGTTAGTTGAGGTGAAAATTCTACATACTAACTGCTGTTTTCAAAAAAACTGATGGAAATTCTTAGTACAAGATGGCTTCCTAGCCATCCTGTATATATACTCACATATTTTCACCCTACTTTTTTTCCTATCTCTTCTCCTTTCTCTCCTCTTCATTGTTTAATCCTCAAGTTCTATTTCTTTTAGTTTTACTATATCTGTTACACCTTTCAGTTTTTATTTCTTCTTTTGGGTTCTTACAGTAGGGAGACAATATGATATTTACACATGTGGGTCTGGTTTATTTTACTTATGAGTATAACCTCTAGTTGCATCCACTTAACCTACTATTTTCCTTTTGTGCTTTTGTTTGTTAAAAGAAGTACTATTTGTTTTGTATTTGTAACAAATATAAGAATATAAAGACATAAATCCAGTTAACTTTGAAACAAGCATATAATAATTAAAAATTGTAAGACTACTTATCATCTCAAAGGACTATTCTAAATATTCACAGGTGCTACACAGAATACTTTTGGACAAAATGATTTGTTTTCAATATTCTCAGGATGTCAGATTTTTATCCTGTGAGAGTACTTTTTATTAATAGTTGGATAATATATATAATGTGAAAAGGCTAAGTGTAACTAATTTTATGAAGTAGAAAGAAGTCAGCTCACAGTCCAGCACACAAGAAGCTGGGTTAAACCAAAATTGGTTTTAGTTTTGCTGTACTGAGGACCTAAGCCAAGACTTTACCACTGAGCTATATCCCTAACCCTGGCTGAAACCAAATTTAATCCAGTTTTTAGTAAATTTGAATCTGGATGCCTCTATAAAGATGATTTTATAGGGCCGAGGAGATGGCTCAGTGGGATAAGTGCTTCCCTAGCAAGTGCAAGGGCCTGAGTTTAATCCCCGGTTCTGCCCCAAAAAATAAATAAATAAAATAAAGATGATATTATAGATTCACATTTATGCACAGTAGCATAAGCCCTTTACCCTTAACCACCCACCCAGTACATTAGTAACAGCAGTGAAAACTTTATCAGAATGATGAAAATCAGATAACAGCCCTTACTGTAGGCCACAAATTTTGAGAAATGCCCAGTAATATAACTTCTGCAAGATGGAAAGAAAATTACCTGTAACTCTAACTCACAAGAGTACCATATGCAGCTGTTACAACTACATAAAATTCAAAAACCCCTACTAACATTGACAGGGAGAGGAAGGTTAGTTGGTGTGTGGTTCAGTTTTGTGTTGTGGCCAAATCTCCCCCAGTCACAGGCGAAGGAGATTTAGCCGTGAGGCCCAGAGGCAAGAGAGGTGGTCGGCAGTCATAGATCCTTTCTGTGGCTATGGAGCTGTTGCTTACGGCATAGCCCCCTGCACATTCCTGTCAAGTGCTGTAATATACGAGCTTACTAGGAGAGTTGGATTAATGGTGAGTTTGAGATTGAGTTTTTTCGGATAGATGTGCTTTACATAGCTGAATTATGTGATAAACTATGTTTCAACGAAAGTCTTTTATTTATTTAATTTTATTTTTTCAAACCAAATTGGTAGGACAGTTTGAATAATTAACACATTGCATACATTCTTCCTAGTGGTTATTTGCTGTACAAGATGCGGACATGATATCCTGTTTACAAACACTATTAGAACAAATCTCTCTATTCATTAAGAGAATGTAACTATATATCTATCCTAACCACTTTGAGTACACAGATACCAAATGGACATTCACCTGTATCCCCTTTTTTGTTTAGTTCCGTTATTTGAATATTATAGGTGTGTTAACTCAGCAAAATATTCTAAAAGAGTCCAGTAGCCCATAATAGTATTGGGTCTTCTGCTTCACTGGCAATGTTAGAAATTGTTGACCTGAGTCCCCCACAGCTCAACATAACAGCATGGCCTTACTTCTTATACTTCGTAGTCTTTTCTTTTAATCCAAAAATGTGATGCTATCAAGAAATTTTGCCACAAAAAGGGGGCAGAGATATGCTGATCAAGTAATAAAAGTCATTCCGTGTGGGAACAGAGGAAACTACATTTCTCAGGGAAAGGAAAATCACACCGCCTAAGAAAAGAACTGTGAACATACTTAAAAATCATCACACACGTTTTTTGTTTCAGGAGGACAGTTGGGAGGCCCGAGTGCATGTGATTCCATGAAGCTGAACGGGTAAGTGAGCAGCACGTAGGGTTCTGTGGCACGGTGGCGGAGGCAGGGAGCAAGCTCAGGCTCGACCAGCGCTGGCTGCCCAGTCGGTGGGCGTCGCTTCCCTGAGCCCCTGCAGAGGACTGATTGGTTTTCCTGAGTCAGGTGCATCTAGGGTGGCTCCACTGGCCAGGGCACACGACGCCCTGAGTCGATCTTTTGAAACATACAAATGCCTTTTATAAGCCTGTGTCTCTTTAAGTGTCAGTGTCACCTCCCTGCCTAAAAGGATTCTCCTTACTCTCAGTAATCGATAAGATGTACTGAGTAATAGACTCTGCTAGTGTGCTACCTCTGCTGGCTGTAGTGCCCTGCCTGCCTGGTCTTCCTTCACAGGATGCCTTTTTGGGGGATGGGGGAGACCTGGAATTGAAACAAGAAGCTTGCGTGGAGCTACATCTCCAGCACTTTGAGCTATCTATTTATTTATTTATTTATTTATTTATTTATTTATTTATTTTTGAGTCATGCTGTCACTGAGTTGCCCCACCTGGGCTCTAACTTGCAGTTCTCCTGCCTCAGCCTCCTGTAGTGCTGGGATTATAGGCATGGGTCACCAGGCTCAGCAAAAGCCCTTCTGTGTACGACGCAGGCTCTCTTTCCCCCGTCTACCTCCTGGCAAGCTCGGCTCTTTGGCATCCCTGAAGATGCTATTTGAAAATGTCTTCTCATAAAGGCCTTGCTGCCCTTTTTGTAAAGCTCTCCCTCTGCCTTACCCAGAATTTGTATTTCTGCTGTTCTCTGTGTACTTTGCACTCTGGCCCCAGTGTGTAATACTTTTATTCTTAGGTTCTAAAACATAAGATCTATGCACAGAGGGACCACATGTGTCGCACTCATTGTTACGGCTTTAGTGACTGTCCCTTTCAGGGCCCCGTTGGAGCCACTACCTAAATGTTTGCTGATTCCACTACAGATACTTCCCTCTTTCTTTCTTTCTTTCTTTCTTTCTTTCTTTCTTTCTTTCTTTCTTTCTTTCTTTCTCTTTCTTTCTTTCTTTCTTTCTTTCTTTTTTTATTTTAGGGAAGGGTCTACAGGGTGTTCAGGGTCTCACTACTAGATCGGACTCATAATAATGATCCGCCTGTTTACAGCCTCCCAAGAGCTGGGATTACAGGCACATGGCACCACACCCAGTCTCAGTTACCTTCTCAGGGGCTGGGCCATCACAGCAGGCCTGGGGATAGAACCCCCAGCCCCTGCGCCTGCTTGCAGGCACTTTAATCCGCTGAGCATATTTGGCTGGCCCTACAGACGTTTTCAATATGGATGTTGGTGCTTTTTCTTTTTGAGATCTGGCAGATTCAAACTCCTGAAGAAATTGCTGTCAGTATGAAAGGTTCATTTGTACAGAAGTAATATGAAAAATAGTATGTGTGTGTGTATCATTTTCTTTAAAAAAATTTTTTTTTTCTTTTCTAGTACAAGGTATAGTATGATTTGGGCATTTCTTTTCCCATTGGAGAAAACAAATAAAATTGAGGGAAGCTAATTATCAAGACAGAGAAGGAAAATGCAGATTTTTTTTAGCTTTGGTTTGAAATCTCACCAATTTTGTGCCTGTATTGAATATGCTGTGTTTCTTCATGGCTTTTAATACTGATTTTTTTGTGTGTGTGTTCTTTATACGTTCTGGATATTAATCCTCTCAGAAGAGTAGCTAGGAAAGATTTTCCCCCTATTCTGCGGGCTGTCTCTTCACTCTGTTGGTTGTTTCCCTAGTGCTACAGACTGTCAGATTTGATGGTGTCCCGTTGGTTGATGCTTGCTGTTATTTCCTATATGCTATTGAAGTTCCTATGCAGGAAGTCTCTGCCTGTTCCTATGATTTAGTTTTCCCTGTGTTTTCTTGTAGCATTGTCACAGTTGCAGGCCTTGCAGTTAGGTCTTTGATCCATTTTGAGTTGATTTTGTGTAAGGTAAGAGAGTGATTTAGTTTCAGTCTTCCTTATGTGGGTATTCATTATCCTGAACTGTTTGTTAAAGAGGCTTTTTTCTCAGTGTGTGTTTTTGGCCCCTTTGCTTTGTCCAGTGTCAGGTGGTCATAGTTCTGTGGGTTTGTTTCTGTGGCCTCTGTTCTGTATGTCTGTTTTTGTGCCCGTGATTTTTTTTTTTTTTTATTTGTTTGTTTCTGTGGCTTTGTAATAAATGTTTTGGACGGAGTGGTTTTGTTGGAGACAGGGTCTATGTAGTTGAGACTGGCTTTGAACTTACTTTGTAGTCCAGGATAACCTCAAATTCAGGCAATCATCTTGTGTCGGCCTCCCAAATCCCGGGATTACAGGTGTATGCACCACGCCTATCTTGTGTAATTTGGAATAAGTTATTATGATGCCTCCAGCCTTGCTATTTTTGCTCAGGATTGCTTTGGCTATTCTGGGACTTTTGTGTTTCCATGTGAACTTCAGGGCTTTTGGGGGGGGGGCACTGTGAATCCTGCCATTGAAATTTGATAGAGATTACATTGGATCTATGGATGGCTTTCAGTAACAGGGCTACTTAAAAAATACTGATTTGCTGATGTATGAACATTTTTTTTTCTATTTCTATTGTCTTTGATTTCTTTCTTCAGTGTTCTGCAATTTCCATTGTGGAAATCTTTTACCTTCTTGATTTGGTTGATTTCTAAGTTAATATTTTTTAAGGCTATCATGGTGTTATTTTTCTGATTTCTTTCTCAGCTGGTTTATCATTGGAATATAGGGAATCTCTCAATTTTTATTTTATTTATTTTTTTGTTTTGTTTTGGTTTTGTAGCAGAAATCAAACTCAGGGACCTCGTGTTTGCCATGCAGACACTGTGCCATTGAGCTTTATCCCCTTCATGTTTTTTAAATTTGTCAGCTCTAAAAGTCTTTGGCGGAGTTTTTAGTGTCTCCTGAGTATACAACCATATCATCTGCAAATAAGGATAATTTGATTGTTTTCCTTTCCTATTTATGTTCTTTTGATTTCTTGCTCCTGTCTAATTGCTCTGAATAAAATTTCACTCCTTAAGAAAGTAGACATCCTGTTTTGTCTTGATTTTAGAGGAGATGCTTTCCATTTTTCCCCATTTTGTGTTTTATTTGTTTGCTTGTTTTAGATAGGATCTTGCTGTGTTTTTTAACCTGATCTTCAGCTTGAGATCCTCCTGCCCCAAGACCTGGGATCACAGAGGTATGCTACTACGCCTCGCTCTAGCTATTTTTTCTTTTTTTAATGTGCATTCTTGATATCTTTTGCCATACTTTATGGCGGTTTGTGTCTCAGTTTCCCCTCAAAACCCTGTACAGCCATTGGTAGAGCTTTTTCAGCGTGGGCTAGATCTAGACCGTGTGGTGATTCGTGGTGCTGCACTGGGATTAAGGATGAGGGATCACTAACTCAGTACTGATTGGCTTGGCGCTGCCCTGCCCCTGGGAGCCTAGGTACAGATAAGGGACGGGAGGAGGCTGGTCCTAACCACTGCTGGTGCTATTGCTGCCTTTTGCCTGCCATGGGTCTTTCAGCTCCGCGATGCCCCCTGGCTAGGCTGCCCTGCATTGGAGCCGGCTGACTGTGGGCTAAAGCTGCTGAAAACCAGCCAGGTAAACCTTTCCTCCTTTAACATGGAGTGCTAGGTATTTCATCTCAGTAATGAGAAAAGAAACTGAGACACCATAGTTGGAAAGTTTTCTGTACACTGATTTGTTGCCCCATATGCACTGTCTGCTAATTTCTCTCATCAGGTAGCTGTCAGATGACCTTCTCTTGCTCTCTCACCTTTCTTTAGGTTTCTCAGAGTACATCAGCATGTGTTACCATTTTGTCCTCAAGATCTGAGACCCTTCCTTCACACTGATCATTTCTGTTGGTCATGTATTCAGTGTAACTTTAGCTCTAGACACTTTTTCATGGAGTTTTCTTGTTTGATAAATTGTAGTTCAGGCTGGCCTTGAATTCACCCTGTAGTCCACACTGACCTTAAACTGGAACTGATCTTCCTGCCTCAGCCTCCAATGTTTTGAATACTTTTGATCAGCTCTTCTAATTTTTGTTTAACCACATCAGTTTGTTAGTTCTACTATCTTTTTGGTTATATCATACTTGCCTGCTTGTGCTGTTTTTATTAAATTAATTAGCCAATTAATTAATTTTTGAGATAGAGTCTCACTATGTAGTTCAGGCTGACTTTGAACTCAACTATGTAGCCCAGGCTAGCTTTGAACTCATGGCAGTCCTCCCCTCCTCAGCCTACTGAGTGCTGGAATTACAGGTGTGGGCCAGCCTATCCA